ATCCTTTCTCTCCCATGCCGAAATCATTACTGGTCCACCCCTATTCCCTACCTGAAGGGAGATCTGCTGCCAGCTAGCTCTTCTGACACCATTTCTTCCTCTTCCTGGAAGCCTTCCCTGAATGTCCACACTCTTGAGCCCATCCCTCGGAAGAAAAGGAAAGAGGAACAAAGCCACCAGAGCTTCATGGGCTATAGACTCCATCGCAATGGTTCTTCTATCCTACCCACTACCGAGATCCTCTCCCTTTCCCCTACCAGGCCAAGCGTGTGATCATCCAGGAGCCTGAGCTGCCTCAGCCTTCCAGCAGCTCAGAATGAGGGCACGAGAATGAGGAAAAGAAGAATGTGGCCTGGAACTCAGCTCAGACCACAAGCTAAGAGCTTCGCACTTGTAGATCAAGGATGGATAGCCCATAGGAAGGCCATTCTGATGACTGTTGGGGAAGAGACGTTTGGAAACCTTTACGAAGCACAGAAAGGCTGGGAGTGTGACTTAGTGGTAGAGTGCTTGTCTAGCATACATGAAGCCCTGGGTTTGATTCCTTAGTACTACATAAACAGAAAAAAGCCTGAAATAGTGCTATGGCTCAAGTGGTAGAGTGCTAGCCTTGAGCAAAAGAAGCTCAGAGACATTGCCCAGGCCCTGAGTTAAAGCCCCAGGGCTAACAAACAAAAAGAAGGAGGAAGGGGAAGGGGGAGGGGGAGGGGGAGGAGGGGGTAGAGAGAAAATAACATTCTCTCCAAGACTTATCCTGGACAACATAAAGGGAGATAGAAAGCACTTGTAGCTCTGGGCCTTTAAAAGAACCATGTGAGAAAGGAAATGTTCATAATTCAAAGGAAACCAATCACCCAAAAAATACAGTAAAGAAATCACAGCGCCAGAGTTGAATGCCAGTAATCATTTCTAGTTCTTTTATGCAATCCATGCTCTGGCTGGTAACTCAAAAGGTTGAGATGTGAAGATCTTAGTATGAAGCCAATCCAGGCAGACAAATTAGAGCAAGAAACTCCTATTTCCAATTAGCTAACAAAAGGCTGGGAGTGTTCTAGGAAATGGAAACGAGGGGTTATTTTTTTCTTTGTTATTCTTTTTGTTTTCTTTTTCTTTTTTTGTTCTGTTTGTTTATATGTCTTTGGGAGTGTAAGGGGAGGCACCAAAATGGAAGGACAAAAGGTAAATAGATGCAGCAGTGGTACTCACTAGACACTGTTGAAAATGAGCTATACAACTTGTAAGTAGGGATGGGAGAGAAAAATTGGGAGAGCGTGAGGAAAGGGGTGACATTGTCCCAAAAGAAATGTACTCTTTACCTGAGTTATGTAATTGTAATCCCTCTGTACATCACCTTTTAATAACAATAAAAATCAAATATAAAAATGGCTGAAGGTGGAGGTGTGGCTCCAATAGTAGAACGCCAGTCTTGAGTGAAACCACTAAGCAAAGAGACCCTGAGTTTAGCCCTAGTATTGGCAGAGAGAGAGAGAGAGAGAGAGAGAGAGAGAGAGAGATCTATGCTCTGATACACACTGAGCAAAAGCATGAACCATTGGCATCTTAACCTGTTCAGCTCAACCAAGATCTGAAACCTGTAAACACAGTTATAAAGCTATGTAGCAAGTTGGTTAGAACCATCTATTAAAATGTAAGTATCGTTGGGATAAAAATAATCTCTATTTATTCCTATGAAACATAACTTGGACTGCTCCTTGAGATAGATAGTCCTCCCACAGACATGAGAGAATTCCCGAACTGCCTGGAATGTGGCAACACCAAACAAGGAGTCTGTCTCCATGAACCTAACTCAGATGTCTAGTCTCCTTAGTATGGCCACATCTTCCAGGTTGATTCTGAAGAGATGAGCAGAAGAGTAAGCGAGCCAAATTGAAAAGAACGTGGCCCTGGGTATCAGATAATCAGTTCTGCCACTAGCTAGCCAGGCGTCCTTGAACAAGGATTCAAATCTCAACAACCCAATGTCTCCTCATTTACAAAATGAGGAAAGGGATGGGATTGCCGTTAGAATAATTCTTAAAGTTCCATTAACTAAATACACACAGAACCCATGGAACGTACATATTTAAGTGATACTCTCTTAATGGAGATTAGTGACCAAGAGTCTTTGCTGAAATGTCACAGATTCAGTTTCTTTTTTCTCACCTCCCCATAGAAATTGGTCTCAGATTCCTATTTCACAAATGTAAAACTCAGCTACCTCTACTTTTAACAGCAAAGAGGAAGAAAACAGTAGTCAAGTCATGAAGCAGTCAGTCCCCAGATTAACTAATATGAAAGAATAAGCAGAAAAAGAATGATGTCCATTGATGAAGTCAAGGAAGAAACCTAACAGAGTGAGCATTCTGTACCTAAGACTAAAAGCAAATGCTAGAACACTATATAGAGGTAAGAAGTAATTTTGTGAACAGGAAAAGCAGAGAGAGAGATTAAAAGGTATGCCAAATCTGAAACAGAAGGCTAAGAACAATAGTAACAAATAGTAACAACAGAGTAACAAGTAACAAGGACCAATAACAAAACAGGTACCCATACCCAGAGGTTGGTTCTGACTTGGAAACAGCAAGTCATTAACCCTGGGAGACATGAAATTTTCAAATGGACAAAAAATTTAAACAAATCCCTACAGGACTAAATTCTAACCTTTACACAAAGGGCTTTAGAACATCGTAGGCCATTTCTGAAGGGTAGACTAATTCTTTCTCTAGAATTGAGACTCAGACCAGGGATCCCAGCTACTCAGAGATCAAGCCATCTGAGGCAAAAGTTAGCCAGGCCCTAGGGCTGGTGTGGTGATACAGTATGATAGCATACATCAGGAATCCTAACTACATAGGAGTCAGAGGAAGAAAGTTTGTGGGCCAAAGCTAACACAGGTGAAAGTGTGAGACTCAATCCAAAAAATAACTAAAGCAAAAAATAACTCACTCAAGTGCTAGAGACACTGCCTAACAAGAGGGAAGCCTTGAGTTCAGCCCCAAATAAAGGATCAGGAGAGGAAAGGAGAAGAGGGAGGAAGTGGGAAGAGAAGGGGAAGGAAGAGGAGAGGAGAGGAGGGGAGGGGAGGGGAAGGGAGGGGAGGGGAGGGGAGAGGAGAGGAGAGGAGGGGAGGGGAGGGGAGGGGAGGGGAGGGGAGGGGAGAGGAGAGGAGAGGAGGGGAGGGGAGGGGAGGGGAGGGGAGGGGAGGGGAGGGAAGGGGAGGGGAGAGGAGGGGAGGGGAGGGAAAGGGAGGGGAGGTGCATGGCTGCCAGGGCTGGGAGGAGAGGAAGAAGAGGGAGGTGAAATGGGGAGAGGTAGGGACTGCTAAGGTTAAAGAAATGAGACTTCTTTCCGGACACAATGAAAATAGTCTAAGATTAAATTATGACAATTGTTGTACAACCTTGTGAATATAGTAGAAGTATTCAACTGTCCTAGAATGAGAAATTAACGAACAAGTAGGTAAAATTCAAAGGTCTGACTCTACTTAATATCATACTAATGTTGGCTTCTGGTGTATCATAGTTCTCACAAAGGCACTAAGGTGATGTAAGAACTTTTGATTGAACTGAAGGAAGTTCTTGAAAAATTAACAACAAAGCAGGTGTCCTGGGGCCATCAAATCCAGCGCCCTCTAGAGGACATGGAATGTGTCACAACCCCGACCCATCTATGGCTGCTCTCAGGTCCTCTGTGATCCTGTGACCTTGCTATTCTTGGTCCATTCATTTTCTCCTTTAAGATCATTTCCTTTGGTTTAGCCAACTGTTACTTGTTTTCCTTACACCTATTTTTTCTTGCTCTTTTCTTACATGTCCAATTCTTGTAAAACTTCCAACAGTGAATCAAATCTAGACACATATTCCTCTAATAAATGTTTGGAGCTTACCAGGTACCAAAGTGGAGATGGGGAGGGCTTTTTCATTTCCATAAAAAGTCAGAAGCATTCTGTTTCTACATCATTTTACAGTGTTCTACCTTCTTCCTTCATGTTCCCTCTTCTCCTTTGACTAGTTCCAACACCAAGCAATTTATTGTTCATTATTATGATGAAACACAGGTTGGTCCCTTATCTTGATCCAATGGCTGCTTTTAGTTTACAACCTCAATATCTTAGGAAGGAAGATAACGAAACTGGCAATCAGATAAAGATGTGACTAAAGACACTTCAAACACATCAGTAGGTAAGACTTGAGGGGATGAGTGGGGTTGAGAGAGAGGGGTGGGAGGAGAATGATCAGGAGGTGATACTAATCAAGAGGCCTTGTACTCAGACTCCGACATGTTGGATGGAAACCTCTTTGTGAAATTTCTTAAAGATAATTTTAAAGAGAAAGAATATTTCTTAAGCACATCAACTTAATTTTGCAACATGGTAACCCCAACTATAAAGCTACATAGCATCATCTTCTATGGCAAACACCACCTAAAATGCCACACATTTAAAAAAAAAGAAAAACTTTCAGTTTGACTACCCCTACACAATTTATATAAAATGGTCCTCTGAATATAGTCTGTATCTGTGCTCATTTGCTTTTTGTTAAATAACTTATGGGTAACTTGCCATTTATTGTCTGGAGATGAGTCTTTTGGAGACAAGAATTGTTTAAAGCAAGTGTTTTTTAGAATGGAGAATGTCCCTTTACTGGCTAGGGCAGAGAATTCTTTCTCCCAGAGTAACACTAGCCATTTCCTAAGGCCTCCTAGCTTTTAATCAGGAAGTGAAAGAAGAGACAGAAGATTCCAGAGCCAAGGGCCAATTCACATCAGCCAATATGCACTAAAATAGGCACATTCCATTTGGGAAAAGAAAAAACAGTAAAATAAACAGGTACAACTCTCTTAGCCAAGTCCACTGAAAGGTGGAAAGAAAAATAAAGAGTCCTGGTTTATGATCTTTGCAGTCAAAACTCTGTTTCTTTGTGATCTGAAATCAACTCTTCCTGGCTACCACTAAAAACACTAATAACACAGAGATGAATTATATCAAGAGCATCATGTTCATGGCTTCTGGGTCTTCTGGGTAAGACCAAGTGTTTACTGCTCTCATCAGTTTAATAGCATATACATCTTCTACCTGGAGATGTTATATTGAATGGGCTTTGGAGCACAGAGGTGGCATAGGACCTTGCTTCCTCTGCTCCATCTATGGACTTGTAAGTAGGACCTCCAGGAATGGGGACCCCATCCAACAACACTCTGCTTCCAGCAGAGTAGATGAGGAATCAAATGTGCCAGAGCTGTGACACAGTCACCAGGCTGGTTAGGAGCAGCGCCATTTGTAGCCCTGATGCATGGGAATACAGTCACCTTATAGGACTTTACCCCATGCCTACCCAGTTACCTTTCTCCATCCAAGGGGACGATGGAGAAAACAGCCAAATTTTCTGCCTCTGCTGCACTCACTGCTCTTTCTGGTGGGTGGTTTCTGGAGGTGGTTTTTGAAGCTCTTCAAAATTCATGTCCCAACCCTTTCACCTACAAACAGCCAGACATGAAAGGTCATGGCTGTTCCTGGAAGAGCAAAAACGGACCTTTCATATAAGGCAGAAAAGAATGAATCTAAGAGACAAGTTTAGAAGGAAAACAAAAGGCAGGATCAGATGTGGTGGTACATGTCTGTAATCCCAGCTACTTAGGAACATCAGGAGTAACTCCTAATCAGAAAGGCCAGCCTGGACAAAGAGTGAGTGAGACGCCCATCTCCAGCCAGGCACGGTGGTCCATGTCTGTAATTCCAGCTGCTCAGAAGGCAAGGCCAACCTAGGTAAAAAGCAGAGACAGGTAAAAGAAAAGACAAGATAAGTAAAAAGTGAGAGACCCTATCTGAACAAAAGCTAAAGCAAGAAAAGGGCTGACGTGTGCCTTAAGTTACAACAAAGGCTTGAATTCACTCTTAGTGCTACCAAAATAAAGAATAAGAAGGAGAAAACTGTGAACTATCATTTGTACAAAAACAGACAAACAGCCGGGCACCAGTGGCTCATACCTGTAATCCTAGCTACTCAGGAGGCTGAGATGTGAAGATCACAGTTCAAAGCCAGCCCAGGCAGGAAAGGCGGTGAAACTTTTATCTCCAATAAACCACTAGAAAACCAAAAGTGGCCCTGTGGCTCAAGTGGTAGAGCTCTAGCCTTGAACTGAAGAGCTCAGGGACAGCACCCAGGCCCAGAGTTCAAGACCCACAACCAATAAAAAACAAAACAAAACAAACAAAAAAACAGACAAACAGATTCTTGGTGCACATAAGGTGTAAACTACCTGTAAAAGAATACTGGACTTAAATGGGTGGCAACTGAACAGTCACAAAGCCAGAAAATCAGTTTTTTGGTGGTGCTTTGAACTCAGGGCCTTGGACTTGGCTACACAAGCACTCTGTAATGTTAGCCTCACTTCCAACCCTATTTTTGTGCTGGTTATTTTTGAGATAAGAGTCTTGCCTCTTCTCTAGGCACATAGACCACAACCATCCTATTTGTTTTGTTTTCCACTATAATTGGGATGGTGAGCTTTTGCTACCACACCCAACTTCCGCTGAGATGGTGTCTTTCAGACTTTTCTGCTTGGGCTGTCCTGGAATCTGGATTCCCCCACAGCCTCCCACATAGTCACCGTATCCAGCTTTGGGTTGAGAAGGAGTCTCATGAACATATTTGCCCAGGGTGGCCTTGAACCACGATCCTCCCGTTCTCAGCCTCCCAAGTAGCTAAAGGCCCAGCAGAAAATTAAGGGTTGCTTTTTTGTTATTGTTGTTGTCCTATTGGGTTTGTTTGTTTGTTTTTGGAAACAAAGGTTTATTTTAAAGAAACAAAAGAAACGTGACAGGTAGCTAGGCAAAGAAGCATTGTGCAGCTGTTGCTGTTACTGCCAGAAAATTAATTTTTGAAACTGAACCTAAATGAAACAAAACCCCCAAACAATAAAACATGAATATTTTAATGCACTAAATAAAATAAAAATAAAGATAGCACCATAAGTAATACCAGGGGGAAAAAGTCTCAGGAACAAAAAAAAAAGTCTCCACCTAATGTCACAGTTAAACCACTTGATGAAATTTTGGAAAACAACTTTTGAATTTAGCAACATTAGCTGAAAGTGTTGCTGGTTCATCTGCTTCCATTATGAACTATAGGATCATGAGACAAGATTTTAAAAGAGGGGAAACAAACCTATATCATTTTTTTCCAAAAAAACTTGGCAGCTGTATTTCAATTTTAATATTTTTTAAAATTTGCATCAGTTAATCCCTTGCTTGGAAGAATCTGAAACAACCTGAATATAAACTTTTCCAATGTCCTTGTTTTTTTTTCCACATTAGTCTAGAACCTGGGCTGCTGTGTGTCCTTGTTTTGGTTAAAAAAAAAAACCTGAGACTGGAATATTAATGGTAATGTGATGGTTAGGAAATCCCCAGCCATATCAGCCCAGAAATCTTCATTCAGCATCGTAAACACTTTTAAGGCCACTATGAATGTTCAAAACCATACCTGAGTCAGATCAGTATCATCAATGCATAAAACAAGATTAACCATGGCTAACTTTAAACCATACATTCACTATGACGTGAAGATGATAAATGGTTTACTCAAGTGGACTGTTTTTGATAACTCAGAAACTCTTTAGAAATAGGTTCATGAGTTCAGCTCCCACCCATAATCACATTTCTTAGAGCCAAAGGGTTAGTAGTCTTTTAATAAAGCCCATTTATAACCAGTACAAGCATTTAACTTACTTTTCCTACTGATTACTCTCCATGCTTGTGCTACTGGCAAAACGTTTAGAAAGTGTCATTAATAAGACTCCAGCAAGTCTTCAATTTATCTTATTTACTGGGAGGCCTGACTTACTTGAATTACAGGCTCTCCCAGAATCCTACAACACTGTTCTGAATTCTTCTTACAAGTGGTTGCCACAAATGTATTTGCAGATTGGACTGTCTCTCTTCAGATAGAATCTTATCCTACTTTTTAAATTATTTTTAAATAGCTGTACAAGTTCAATAGCTGTTACCATTCAATGCATCAATTTATGTGTACAATGTACCATGACCAATGTTATCCCTTCCAGAATTCTGCTTACCCTCCCTGAAATTTGTTTTATAAATAACTCAGGGAACATGAGGATACAATAAATAAGAATATTTGACATGTACGACCTCACTTTGGACAACTATCAGCATTGAAGCCAAATGAAGTTTCTTTTTCTTGCTTCTTATTTCAGCACTGACATCAAACCCAGGGCCTCCGCCATAGTAGGTAAAGGCTCTACCACGGAGCTACAACCCCATCCATAAGAATTAAATTAACTTTCAAAGTAGAAATAGGCTGATTCAATCTGAAGTTTGAGTTCCAAATAATGAGACCTAACTCAGTTGGGGGGGTGGGGAACTGCTTCCCAATTTTCTCTCCACCTAGTCTTTCCTTCCAAACAAAAAATAAAATAAAATAAAATTCCATTTCAACTCAACAGACGTGTATGTAGTCCCTAATTTAATAGAAAAGGGGAAGGGAGGGAAGAGGGAGAGTGGAAGGGAGAGAAGAGTAGGGTACTTATAGTCTTGTCCTTAGATGAGGATGAAGAAGAAAAGAAGAGAGGAAGAATAGAGAAGGGAAAGGAAACCAGGGAAGAAGAGGGGAGGGGAGAGGATGGGAGGAGAGAGAAACACAAGGGATGGGGAAGGGACAAAGCTACCTCACATTCTTCTCATTGGCTTTAAGCAACATTCATCAAAGACCATGCTTTTGGACTGAGCTTCTGCACAGTGCCCTAATAGATCAGACCCAATGGATAGCGTCACATGCATGTTAGAAGTCCTATAAACTAAATGAACTTCCCAAGTAGGCCTGTCTTAAAAAAAAAAACAAAAAACAGAAGATTTACAGTAACCAAAAGGGCCCCAGGCAACCTGAGCCTCAAGAGGAGGAAGTCCCACTTTCTCAATCCTGTGAGGAAAGTAACTTAGAAATGAGCACTGTGGTTTTGTGTCTTGTTTCAGCTTCTCTCAGCCCTTCTGCCTTGCAAAGCCTACCACCTCCTCCGGCTCTGCAAAGATCCACCCAGCGCCTTCTGTTTTGCAAGCAGGATGTGGCCAGACAGACTCCTGAATCAAGAAGCAAGGACCATTCCCTCTTTGAACTTGCTTTGCTGACATTTTCTGCTTTGCGATCAGTACCTACAATGGTACTCTTTTTCTGGAGTCTCAGTGCCTTTGCTGAAAGTTTCTTCTTGGAATATTCTAGTTGTTCCACCCTGTACACATTACCTTGGCCTTAAGCTTCTCTCTCTACCACCTCCTAAAGTCCCTTTCCAGGTTTGGAGGTGCTGAGGCCCATGTCTTTGGGCAGTAATACTCACACATGTCCTGCACATGGCCTGTACTGAGCTTATATGTCAAGCTTTCCCATGAGACAGTTTACTCCGGGTTTAGGGATTGCCTCTTGGGAGGCCCCCATGAATCTCCACATCCTCATTCTAGGCCAATGTTTCACTTACAGTGTTCAATAAGTAACTGTTGAAAGAAGTCTTTCAGAGTTTGAGTAGGGCAGAAAACAAATAAATATCTTAGACAAAAGGTAAAAGGCCTAATAATGTAGTCAAGAGATTCAGTGAAGAATCAGAAGACTAGGATTCATGAGTTAGAGCTTTCAAGGGGAAATGATACTACACATTTTTGTTACTTTGTGTAATTAGTGTATAATGTTTATAAGTTATAAGACTCAACAATATAAGTCATCATTTGTGATATAGGCTAATCAAATGTTCCTCAGGAACAAAAATGTACATTCTCATCAGAGAAAACTAAATGTAAAGGAGGAGCTAAAGTTCAAGAACAGCCCCAAAAGAAAGTTAGGAAGACTCTATCTCAACAAAACAAGCTATGTGTGATGCTACATGCCTATAATGCTAGCAAAGTGAGGCAGAGATAAAAGGATCAAAGGGCCCCAGGAAAAAAAGCAAGAGACCCTGTCTAAAAAATAATAATAATGATAATAGTAATAGTAACTAAAACAAAAAGAAGCAGTGGATGATACTGAAAAATCTCAACACCTGTTGAGGTCCTTTCCTTCTGTGATCTTGAAGAATATACCCTGGACACAGAAGAGAAGTAAGATGGCAGATTCATTGAAGAAAAAGATAAGCAGAGCTTCTGCTCAAGGAGAGTGGTTCAAGGGAGGGCATCTGGGTATG